ATATTATTGAGCTTCTGGCAGACCATCCTTTTGTCTTGGTCTCAACAGAATACTGACTTACTTTTGTCTAATCTGAGAGAAGATGGTATATTTAGGCCAAACTGTTTTTGGAAGTGAGTCACTTGGCCCATATGGAGACCTTTAGATTAATCTCCATTTTTCAATTGAGGGGAATTGCTTGCTATCTGTCTATGCATCCATAATGCTCTTATTGTTGAGCAAGCTCCCATTTTCTATAGCAATGAGCAGCAGCATGCTTCTTCTTAATTTCTCCTGCTTCTTGAATATAACTCAATGCTCAATGGCAAAGTGCAGCCAGAGGATCAATACTGTATTCAATATATAGTAATAATATTTAGTATATGCATCTGTCTGGATAACAAAAGCTTACCATTCTAATCTATCAGTATATGGCTCTTCTTGTATGAGGATGGTAGTCTTAATTTTGATGAAAGAAAGAATGACATGAATCAGAGTGTTTATATTGTAATGCAAATAAGAAGTGATGAGCAAAGGAAGACAGAGAGGCAAGAAAGAGGGATATAAATGTACCCTCATCTCAAGATTCAACTCCGATATAAATACTAGTATAATAGGTATCACATGCCTTTGGTTGCAATTGGGTCTATCTATCTGTATCCATCAACCATTTGGCATGTTTACTGACATAGACCTAGGAAGATAACTGGGAATCATATTCATAATGCAAGGCCATGTGGGCATGGCCATTCTAGATGGCTGCACATCTACAGTGTATGCACATACATAGCAGTCCCTAGCTAGCCAAACAGTATGTTATATATATACTCTTTACAGTGTGCTTAGTTGACTTGAACAGCCAAACTACATAGAATGTTTTATGTGCCTTCATGCCCCCAGTGGAAAGTGATCTTAATTAAATCAAGGAATTGAGTCACTCAATGAACTGTATTGAAAATGCATGATGAAAGCTAAAATATGTAATCATGCAAATTTGAGTCACCCCATTGTTTTTCATTGAATGATACAGCATCTTGTTTGAATTCATGTTGATTCTCACCTGGCATTATACTGTGAGCAGCTGTCTAGTAGTTATGCTTGAGATCATATTCTGCAAGATATTGAATGTCAAACAAACTACAATGTATCCAAAATGGCTAGAAATCAACAAGGAAGGGGATGTTTGAGAATGGGAAAGGAACTGAATTCATTTTTGATCTCCAAAAATGTGTATTTGTGCAGGGTGGGTGAGAGATTTAGATTAGATGGTTGAGACAAGAATAAAAGATAAAAAGAGGGTGTAATTGAAAACAGGTTGAGTGGAAAAATAGCATTGTGGTAAACTAATATCAGCCAGTGAGTCAGCTGCCTGCACCTTTTGAGTGAGAGAAGTGTCTCTTGAAATCACTCATGAAGAGTGGGAATTTCAGTGATAATATATTCTAGCACTTGCAGGAGGTCATTAATGCCAGAGATATTGCAGGAATATAATCCTCAGTCAACATTGGTGTTGCCTGCACTCATCACATCCAATGTTAGGGTTCATGTCAATGAGGTTGTTGATTCAAACATATTGATAGATGTAATGAGCCCAGCTGGAATGGGGATATTATAGTGGGATAGTGTAGAGAGATTGGAGAGTTGGGAGGTTCCCCTGCTTTGAAAACGATTGAGATTTGAAGCATAGGTCCTATTTGACCATAGATAAATGTGATCCTACTATGTAATTCTAGTCCACTCCCTGCATACCCAGAGGTATATGCCACAACTGTACAGAAACCTAACCTCATAAAGTACCCAATCCTGTCCTACTGCCTTGATTACAGAGATCCTTCCTGTGAGAAAATCCCAATGGACTTGACTGTCTACTAGAGGGACATATGATCCTTGGGTCAACAGACCTCCAGGAAAGACTGACAAAATCTATTTGAAACAAGGCAGGGCTGTAGGGTCATCTGGTACTCATCAGTGGACTAGGAGTCAGAAGAGGGTCAAGGAGATTATTTGTCAAGGAAAACACTATAGTGACAATGAGGAGGGATAATTGTTGATGAAATAGCATGCTAAATGTGCAGGATTTTACATAGGCAGGTAGCTGGCACTTGATTGGCTAAAAAAATAGCACCTGCTTGCATAGAGAGACTTTTCAGCAAGAAGGTTGAGGTAGAGCATTTGTGACATAAATGTAAGGAGGAAGCTCTATGAAGAAAATGCTGAGTTGTTGCTAGCTATAAATTATGATACATGGTTGTAATAATCATGCCCATACTAATATTACTGTTTTAATCATCACCTCTTATATAATTTTCTCCTTTATCATTCATATCTTCTCTCTTGCTTTGAACCAGTGTTACTACATGCTTTCATACTTATATAGGTTGAAAGTAATATATGGGCCAGTATTTTCCATAGGAGGCAGCAGTTTCAAACTGTTTCCTCTCTGTTGCATGTTCCAGATCTGATCTCCTGATGAAAAGGAATTCACACAAGTTCATTAAACTACTTCCTAAGTCCCTTCTATACTGACTGTTCCTCCCATTCATGCTGAAGTTGCACAATAAGACCTCAATATATTGGGAAATAGCAAGTGTTGGTATAGTTCTGTAGCTGTTTTGGTGGTGTCCATGACTTGGGAGGAAAATACTGATCAAATAGCTTGTCCCAAGCCACCTGAGACACTACACCCCATTGAACACACTAGAAAGGAAGCTCAAATGACTTGAAGAGCTCCTCTGTGACCATACAACATTCAGCTTCTGTAAGCATATAGTAGGGAGGATCTGATGAAGCCTTGAAATTGGATGAAACCTTCAGGATGTCATTGGACATCTGGTTCCATATGAGGGTTAGCTGTGCATCTAAGTTCTGAAAGCAAGCATGATTGCTGCCCTGATTGTCACTATCATCATTGCTGCTTCCTTGGCCAATATCATGCCTCTCTTTGGGATCAAGCCAAATTCTGTGTGCCTCCATGCCAAAGTCAATAGCTTTGGGCTTAGTGTAGAACCTGGAGAATTTGATCTGCTGACGTATATGATTCTTGGTGCATGTGTCATATATTTGAGCATTTTGAGCACATACTGTTGAGACCAAGACAAGAGGATGGTCTGCCAGAGGCTCAATAAAATGAGGACAGCTAGAGTCCAAGATGAGCATCTGGAGAAGCCAGTATGCTGAGTACAAGTCCTAGAGTAAACATGTACACCTACAGGAAGTGGCTGTAGGTATAGATGATGAAGAGTTGAATATAATTGAGGAAATAATGAGTGGAGAATAAAAGTAAGAAGATGGAAAGATGAGGGATAGTGTAGGGAGTATGGGATATGTGC